AGTTTAAACCACACTTTTTTCACAGTGTGTAATAGAATACAAATGCAAATTGGCTCGTCCGTGTATAATTGCAGCAATATTTTTTTATAACTGTTTCTTTTCTCTTTGGCTGAATGCTGCCAGTGTTAATATTCTTTTTATGCAACGTTTTTCAAAGTAATCTGAGACAAGAGAAAAATTTGGTAGCTGTCAACCGCTCTTTGCAGACAAACTTCTAAAATTGCTCCTTTTATCTAAAATTGCCTGTGTTAAGGGTACATTTCCCTATTAAAAAAGTTAATTTATTTTTAATTCCGTTTTACTCAGGAACTTCATAAAAAAAGTCATTCTCTAATAATTGTAATTGCTTAGCAAATTCGCCAGTAAGTGTAAACACCGTCCATCAAATTCAAACCGTTTTTTCAAAAAAATGAATAAAATGAGCAGGTTTGAGCTAGATGCACTAACGTGTGACTTCCTACTAAAAAAAACTTTGACAACACTTTTATCGGTTTCTCTCTCAAATAAAGTTGTTAAACGAACCAGCAGCTTTAGAAATACAAAACCAGATTCTTGTCAAATCTTTCTTCTTTACTCACCACCATTAAGAAAAGGAAGAAAAAAAAATCCTATTTGAAGTACATTTCTTTTTTTTCTTTTTTTTTAAATTGGCGTCTTTTATCAGAGCTAAAAAGAAATCGAATAGAAAAATATTTCTCGAACATTAAACATCATTATAAAGCAGGCGCCCAACTCATCCATAACATCTTTAAGCGGGGTTGAAGAGACGCCGCACACTTTCTCTGGCTGTTACGTCCCTCTGACCTTCCTTCCAGAACGGGACAAGAAGCCGTCCCGCTGGAACAAGACAAGAATCACAGTAATCATTTATCCATTTCACAAATCGCCTTCAGTCACTTTTGGATCAGTGATATGGACTTCCGCAATTCGAATCTATCATATCGGCTGTTAGAGAACTGTTATGAAAATACTTGGTGCCAAATAAGTAGTCAGTCATTTCAAAATGGAATGTTTGGCAAGGGTGTGGGAAAAAGGAACATCAGTTTCGCAGATATAAATAAAAGTATATTGGGTAACGGTTTTCCCAGAGCAATTCATTAAGGGTTCAAACCATTTATCTTGCGCGCGTGTGTGGCAGACGTGTTATTAAAGCACTTCTGAATCTATGAACATTTCGGCTTCCATTTCTAATCACTCTCTTTGTAAGAAACTGAAAGATTGACCGCATAGTAAAGATTAATTGAATTCGCAATTTTGTATACAAAATGTGAAGCTTTTGTCATTTTTCTTAAAGAACATTTTTTTTTCTGGTCCTGTTGTTACAGTTTTTAAAGTCTTTTTCTTTTCTTTTGCAATGTACGTTTAGAAATTGATTTGGATTATTACTTCCTGTTTTAGAAAATAATTAACTTCGCTAAGCAATAAATTAAGCTTTCTAACATGTATGTCAAAAATGTGTCCGCAAACCTGTAATTAAAACACTTCAATGTTGCTAAAATAGTGTCCTATAATTAATTACTGTCTTTTGTAGAAAAAGGAAATATTAATCTCATTATTATTCTGGAAGAAAGAAAAAGATTAATCGAACTTTTTAATCTTTATACACCGTTTTAAAAAGAAGCAGTTTACATTCTTAAGATTGAAAAAAAGTCTCTCAGCTATAGAAAACGTTTAGTTATACAGTACAAGGATATTTTATTAGGCCTTTCGAAACATTTTCAAAGCTTAAATCGAAGAAGCTTTTAAAAGAATGATATAGACATCTAGAGGTCAGTTCACGCAGTCACATTAATTGTTATATGCCTATTTATTTTTGCTTGCTTATTCATTTTTTAAAATGGTACTTTACGGATAGCTTAATGACAGTTTTACTCATGCGGATTTTTTTTAATTATTTGACCAGTAAAGATTAAATTTTTAAGATCAAAACTTTTTAACTTTAAGCGTACTGACAATTAATATTTTTAACTTGAGAGGTTATTTATCTCAATATAACATAAAAACATAATGATATAACACAATTTTCCATTAGTGTCATTTTTTTATTGGCTAGAAAATCACACATCTAGTTTTAACACTGTCATCAGCATAAAATTCATCAAGATTTTGTTTTCCTGTAAAATATTTTTTTATCCCTAATTTAAAGATATTTACTTGTATTTTCAATTTCTCTTATACTACTCTGATGTTATTACGTTCTTGATTTTTTCTCTAAATTATGAGTTTAGAACTAAAAGAGTTGTTTCTTTATTAAAACATAATTCTATGACATTATCCTATTACAGTGTATTTCGAGATGAACTTATTTAAACTTATTAACAACTTTACAATTAATATTTTTTGGTGCAAATCATGTTAACACTCTGTTATAAATCACAGTTCAAGAGATTCGTTAAATGATTAAGAACTTGCGAACACCTTTATGCACTATGTGATGCATGCACAAATTGTATATAATGTATCAACCTGTTTGGTGAGCGAAAATATTAAATGACGGTCGAGAATTTGATGTAACAATATACCTTTGATTCTAATTGTCATTTTTTAAAAAAAATGATATCTAATCAAAAATAAATATTCATGTTCACTAATAGATCTTAATAGCATCATTAAGGAAATGTTTGGACATGAAAAGTGGTAGCACAAGCTTATGCAAACAAACTCTATATGAGATAAAGTGACTAATTAAAGTATAGGAGGATAAATTAAATACTTTTTACTTTCGCGTAGAAAAAAAAACTGTTTCATGCTAAGCAACAACAATTATTGTGAAACGATAGCAAAGAAGGAGCTTAGCCCTCCAGATAAAAACTCATTGAAAATATTTAAGGACCCTAAGGTTTAGTGAGTTTTCCTCATTTATATAGCAACGGTGAAGAATGTGACAAAATTTCCCCGAATTGCAAAATTTCCTCTTAACACGGCAGAATATTCTCTTTGTTTGATGGCTGCCTGTAATTAAGAAACTGTAACGAAAAAATTCCTTTGAATTTTGAAAAAATTGCAATGTGTTGATCGTTTAGTTAAAAGGGTCTTGACACTACCACTCGCGGTTATAGGCCTGACATACCATGAATCTGACCACCACAGTTAACTACATTGCAAAAAATTCCAGGTCAAATTACGGTAAAAAGTACCAGCACCCTGCTTGAAAATTAATTTTACCATAAAATGTTATACAGTATATTAAACAGTAATAATTATTTAACTACAGCGATTTTGAAATAAATATTACTTAAAAAATTACGGTTTATCAGATTATTTGTAAAATTTTAATATAAAAATGGATTTTTAAGTTCAAAATTTACGTTACTGTTTTAGATTTTTAAATTTACAAAATAAATAAATATTAAAAAATTATTATATGAAAAAACACGATTACTGATTTTCATAATGAAATTGAACGCTTTAACTTTAGTAATGGTGGGAAAAAAAATTCTGAAAACTTACATTAAAGCGTGTACTCGTGCTATTGGGGTTTTGTTAAAATGAATGAAATGCTCAATAAATTTTTGAAGATTTTTAACCAACAACTTAAAAAAACATCAGTGCTATAAGTGTTTAAATTAATAGAGTTTGAAACCATCTAACGATTCGTAAATTTTTGATTTAATCATTTTATAACTATGAGAGAATGAAACTATTTATGAAGCCCTCCAGCTAAAAGGGTTGAAGAACTCTAATCTAAAATCTACAAGAAATCTGAATTGTTCAATCATCAATTATAATTATTAAATAAGAAAACTTAACTACCGCATTAAGATTAATTGAATTCTTCACTGTATAAACGTTTTCTAAGATCGATAATTAATAGTTGCCAAATTTTCTGCCTAAGGCAAAAGATATATATATTTTTTTGGTTAATGTATATATTAATGTAAGGTTTAATATTTGTCTTTTAGTAAAATAAATATGATTTTAAAAGCTTTTGAATATATAAAGAAATTAAATATATATAAATCAAGATTTCATAGCTATTCAGTAATCATTTTTCTTATTTAATAACCGGCGTTGAACAGCCGACTACCAATGTTCAACTCCGTACGTTTGCAATTTTCATACCCAACACAAACAAGGTAACTTCTGGATCAAGCATTGAGACAAACTAGCCTTCATGGAAGACTTTTTGATGGAGCTAACTCGCATTAGCGTTATACGGAGAGGAAAACTGCAAAAACCTTCCTTGGTTAGCCCGAGGTTCCTTGGTTGAAATATAAGAAGAAAAAAAGAATAAATCTGTTTTTTTTTTCTACCATGGACCTGATTCATTATAACTGATCTTGGAAGAAAAGACAGCAATTTAAAAAACTATTACTTCAAGGACTTTTAAAGGCGGTGTCCTCAACAATAAGAACAATGTCCCCAAATCCCATTAATGATCATATTCTCAACGGCGCAAAGTGTTGAACTGAGTAAAACATCAATATTTTGAAACTTACTCAATGCTTTTCACCCTTGATTATATATAAAAAAAATAAACATAAGAAATAGGGTATAGATTTTACAATCACTTGATCGTTTTATCATATGACAGACCCCTATCGTCTTTGAGTTCCAATATTCCACGCTTCTCAATTATCTTATGTAATATTTCCATTATCAGTTATTTTTTTTATAATTTTCATGAAAAATTCATTTTAGAAAAACAACTCTGGAAAAAAAAGTCCTCGGCAAACCTTAATTGGGTACTTACAACTCGAGAAGAAGTAAAATGATCATGCCTAACTATAGGATTTAAATCAGATTTAATTGGATACCTGTAAGCTACATTACGCGTATGCGTAAACCGATCAGGTTCAAACCTGATCGATTTTTTAATCGACAACTACCTACGATGACGTCACTTGCCTATGATGACGTCACTAGCAGGTATCCAATTGAAAATCTATCAAACCATTTGTGATCATTTCCTGCAGTCTCCCACGTAAAAGCTAATCATGGGACTGAATTATTTCATCTTTAATCTCTTCTTTACTAATATATCGTATTTTTCTTTGCAGCTGAAGAAGCGGCTACTACAGTTCCCCCTGGAATAATGGAACCCCATGAGTATGAGGGTGAGAAAATTTTATTTTTATATCCTGATTTTTCAGTATTCTTCGTTAAAAATTTTATATTAAATCCCAAAGAGGTCTTTGATGTTTTTCCTATGTCAATTTCTAAATTAATTTTTTACTGACCTTCTCTAATGAAATATAAGATCTTTCTGTTTAATTTGTCTTTGTTATGCACTTTATTTGATAAGAGCTCAACCTTTTTAAAACTTATCCATTTTGCGCAAAGTTTCAAAATTTTTTAAAAAATTAAAATCTGTTCTTTAATGTTACCCTTAATTTTAGTAAGATTAATTTTTGTAAAGCTTCTGTTATCACTTCAAAATAAATTTTTCATGAAACAAAAATAAAAAATTTAATTTTAATAATGAATAAATAAATAAAAACAGAAAAATATAAAATTTTAACTTTCTACTAAACCTGTTACGGGTTCAGGTCAATTAACTCATACTTTAAAACTACCGTACTACTCTAAAGTTTTATAGTACGATCTCCAAAAGTATAAATACTGCTTAAAATTAACAAACTCTCACTCAAATGAGCACACTCTAAGTTGCTTAAGGAGACATTCTTTTGAGAGAAGTCCGTTGTTTGTCGCCAATCTGGTATTAACAAGGATAATTATCTCCTCAATAGATACCCAAAGGAGAGATAATTTCACAAAATTTACCTTTGAGCAGTAGATTAGTTGACAAAATTACCTCTTAACTACCCTGACATATTTTTGATTATAATGAAAATGAATTTCTGAAGGTATTTGAGAAGTTTCGTATATTTTTAATATTACGAGCATTTCTGTGGAATCTAAAATTAGTTTTAAATATACTTTCCAGTTTGTATCAATTAAACAAAATTCTTAAAAAAATTGAATTTCCTATTAGGCTGTTTATCTAATGGAGTTATGTACAAAGATGGTGAAATAGTTCCATCCGACGACAACTGCCATACGTGTTATTGCATGAAACATGAAGTGGTATGTGCCAATCAGAAATGTATGGCTCCTGCAGATGACTGCACGCCTTTAGAAATTGAGCCAGGGCAGTGCTGTCCAGAGAAATACGATTGTCGTAAGTAAACATTATTTTTTCTCAAATTATAATCAAAACATACTGGAGTCGTAACAATTTTCCATAATTAATGAATCGTGATGGCTGATGGGATAAAGAGTTTGCCTTCCAATGAGTTGAACCGGGTTCGAATCCCAGCGATGTCTGGTGGATACGAATTCCGCATCCTGCTTGCACCGATCACTACTAACGTAAAATATCCTCAGTGGTAGACAGATCACGGGTAAGAGTCCCTTTGCCGTCATGCAAACTGTAGGAGGTTCTAGTGGTCTTTCTCTTCATGTACTGCAAATGCTGGTTAGTTCCATCAAAAAGTCCTCCACGAAGGCAAATTTCTTCCAATACACGATCCATGAATTTTCTTGTCTTCTGGATTGGGTTCAAAATTACAAGGCTACGGAGTTAAACATTAGTAGTGGTAAATCCAAAAAATTGGGTCGGTTGTTCAATGACTTTTATAAAAACATACTTTTATTCTACTTTAATTGTATTCTAATTATTTTACTTTTTCACTCTCTTTTATTTTATTTTATTTTATTTTATCCGTCGTTGAACAGCCGACCCGATTTTGGGTTTACGACTACTAATGTTCAATTCCGTACCCTTGTAGTTTTGAACCAATCCAGTAGACAAGGAAACTCCTGGATCAGTACCCCCAGAGGTATTGATTTGTTATGGGAACATGGAGGACTTTGCGACTCGACAGATTTACCGTGCATCAATCACCATTAACTACACAGGGAGTGCTCGGCAGGAGGGAATCAAACCCACGAACTCTTGGGCAAGAGCCCAGTGCCCTACCAACCAGGCTATCCCGGCCTTTCACTATCTTTTAGTAACTTTCGAGCTATATTTCGATTAGTAACGTTCTGTGCATTTGGATTTGATTGTATTTTGTTGTGCTCGTGTTAACTCTTTTTGCTTTATTTTGCTCTTGAGAATCAAAGCTTCGGTTGGGCCTACATAGTTATAATACGCAACGAGCAGCTCGAAATAATGACGATTCCACTAAGCGATAACTCCGTTAAGATTTCAGAAGGTATTCGATAGGCCACTCCTTCGCAAAAGTAATGAGTAATTCTGTTGATACATCAAATATATTAATTAACCATTAGGGTTTCAAGTAACACTGCTACTTTTTGTCTAAAAAAATGATCGTTTTCTGGAATGTTGGAATGCCTTCTTAAATGTAACAGCAGGTGTATCACAAGCAGTATATTACACCAAGGCTTCCAAAACTGTTCGAGCAACGGTGCAATGTTTAATGCGAACCCCTGCTATTCAAATATGTAGAAATTTTTAGTTTTAATTAATTTAATTTTAATATAATAATCAGTTTATTCCTAATTAGGAGATAGAAGGATATAGCACAATGAAATTATAAACATTATGTTTAGGTGGATGTAGTTCACGTACTAAACTTCCTCTAGAAAATCTGGGTCAAAAAAATCAAATGAAACAGATTAAAATGAATAAGAAACAAAAAGGAGAAAATCCATAAGTATTAATTTGAACATCGAGTTGGTTGAATTAATGATTAAGAGTGAGGTTGTTTTAGCTGGTACAATTTTGAGATGTTTAATTTAATTCTTGAAAACTAGAGACTAGTGCTAAGATCTGCATCTAGACTGTTTCCTATTTTTGATGGGAGTACAGATTTGGAAGAGAGTTATGATACTCTTCCCTTGCAATGGGTCAACTATAGCCTGTCAGCTACTCACTGTCATTCTCAGTTCTTCTTTTTTTTATAATTTAGTTTTGACATTAAATTATATCGTTATTTATATTATTATATACATATAAATATATTGCCATTTATTTTCCTCTTGTGTTACTTTGCAGTAGAAAATTGCATTTTCTTATTGGTGTAAAAAACTTGCAGTTCTTCACGGAGAAAAACAACTATTTTTTAAATTTCCATGCTGTTTTTTAATAACATTTCCAGTAAAGAAAAAAAAAACAATTCTGGTATTAAGAGCCAAGATATAAGGTATTTAAACCTTTCATTTGATAATTTTTCCGTTCGCATGGTAACGATTCAACTGAAATTTTAGTTTTCAAAATTATAGCTCTTATAACCACACAATTAGAAAATGGAAAACTGAAAATTAAATTTAACTAAATATATGATTTTTATGCCATGCTCTAAGATGTCATGAAAAAATTACCAAATCGCAGCACATTTACCAAACGTATCAAACAGCATGATAATAAAACCATATATTTCGTTGTTATTTTTAACCAAAAGTTGATGCCAAAGATGTTCGGAAAAAGTTACCCTTCTTTTTGGTATTTCCATTGAGCCAAAAACATGGTAAATTTTACTATATTATGGTAATTTTGACCATACTTTTTTCTCAGAGTAATATTATTTCCCTCCAACTAAACATATTGCCATGTGAGTAAAAAATATTTCCTCACTCGTGGTAAAGAATTGCAGTTGTAAAAAGTCGTGTTTTCTTTTCTCGACAGCAAATGCTACTGAATCTGATGAAACTTCGACACCAGCTTGGTTGACGACACTATCCGAAAAGACACCAATGGGTAACGAAACTACATCGAAAATCACCACATTTGGTATCGCCGACATATCAACCTTCTCAACGCCTGGAATACATCTCAGTTCTTTCGTTACAACGAAAGATTTTGATATATCGACCGTTGGAACATCCACTAAGATCCCACTTGATGAGAAGGCTGTTTCTGGCGTCACCACTGCCAGCGTCGAAATGGATGCAGAGGTGATAACAGAACTATTCAGCGAACTACCATCGGCTAGTAATATTACCCAAACACCCATCGAGTTGGTATCCCGGCCAAGAGAAGCAAAGATTACAGAAGTACCAGATGACATCTTCACCTCCAGAGCTACGAAGAGGCCAGTGATTTATCCAAAACGTGTTCCTGGAGAAGGTGAGGAATTTTTACTTTGTGTTACCATAAAATTTGATCACCACTGTGAATTTTTTAAGCAATATTTTTAATCTTTATTTGCTTGTAATATGAAAATATTCACGTTCGTAAACTTTTTCATAGAAGTATAGATTAAAAGGCATGTAAATGAGACTTGTACTATAACACGAATTTAATCAATTGTTGCGTACCAGGTAAAAAATTCCAGATCAAATAACAGGTAGGTCACAGGCAACTGAAAATGTAAAAAGTGGTAGAAACTCAGTTCATTTTAATTTACTTATCTCTTTAATTAGTCAATTGTAACTACCACTGGAATTTACATTTAAAATTATTCATATTTAAATTCATCTTTGCCTTCACTTTCAGTAATATACTGGGGAAAAAAAGCTATAAAAAATCCTAATTTTAATCTCGTTAAGAAAAGTTTTGAATTTTATTTGTCACCACGTTTTGCACTTTTAGTTGGCCGTGGCAATCCTGAATTACGACAAAAAGTATTAGAATTCGGAGTGCCGGTACTTTTTACAGTAAAAATTATTTTTATCAAAAAATGTTACCGAACAAAAAATCTGATGTAGCGCAATTTTTGCAGTAATAATTTCCGTAAAATCACTAAATAACGCTAATAAATGAAGATTACTGTAAAAATTATGATATGATGATATTTATGATAGATTTTAGTAATTTTTTTTTCTCTCTTAAATATTACTTTGAGACACATAATAGGAATACTACTATTGCTACTAACTCCCTATACTACTAACTATACTACTAACTCCCAACGTATTTTATTTCTTTATCTTTTTATTTTATTTTCATCTGTTATTTCCATTGTTAAAAAAATAATAATACTGTTAATAAAATCACTGAATTACATAACTTTAGTATTTAGTATGAGTATTTAACTTACTTCACATTTGGCGCAATATATCAGTTCTTATTTCAGTTAAATTTCATTTTTCTCTTAGATGATTGTCCCCTCCTTAAATTGTTACGTTTTGAGAATATTTTACCTTGCAATAAATTAAGTAGTTCAAGGATTTTGTTTTTAATTTTTTATCTTATAGTAACAACATGCCAAGTATATTTTTTTCCACTTTCTTATGTCAAGCGTAGCTGAACTCTAAAAATGTGCCCTTGGATGTTTCTTCCGTTTATGCCAAGTGATGCAACGGCATAAAAAATGTAAAAAAGTGATTAGTGATCGACAAAGAACAGTAATCAATCAAAAATTACCAAACTAAATTACTAAAACTAACAAAATACTCTTATTTCGTTCTTTCAATTTATTATTTAAAACGAATGTGGTATAAACATATATTCATGTTATTAATATATGATGGTATCTACGACTGAGCAGTTAAAATGAGAAATTGAATATCATTGAAATGATTCGTAGATTCAATTGCACCAGTAAATCATAAGAAAAATAATTTGAAATCTTTCAAAAAAATGTAAGATATTTATGTCGATTATTAAGTTTTAACTTGACGAAACTTAACTTTAAACTAAAATTTTTGAGTAATAAAACTAAAACTAACTTTAAACTAAAAATAATAAAAAAATGGTTGAATGATAAAATGATTCTAGGCAAAATGAAAATTTGAATATCATTGAAATAATCTGTGGGATAATTTGTTAATAAGAGATTCAATTGCACCATTGAGTCATTTAAAAAAAATGTAAGATATTACTGTCGATTATTTAGTTTTAACAGTTATTCTTTTCCTTTATTTAGCTGAGTTACAATTTTAATTTAAAATAGTTCCAAATAACGTAATACCTTCATGATAACGAATATCCTTTGTTTAATTTATATATTTTTTAAAACTAATAACATTTTTAATATTAAAAACAAGTAAATTTTTGATATTATTTTTGATATTAACAATTATAATATTTAAATTATATTATATTATATTATTATTATTATTATTATTATTATTATTATTATTATTTATTATTATTTTTATGCAAATCTGCTAGATTTATACAACGAGAGAGAACTACTTTGCTTTTCTCCCACCTTAATAAAAAATTAAAAAAACTTCCTAAAATATTTATTTTTTGTGACCATATTTCTGCAGAAATAACCAATAAACATTTATTTTTACAGGTATTTGCCGTCATCAAAACAAAACATACCAGAGCGGTGAAAATGTGACCACGGGTGACCCTTGTTTGCAGAACTGTGTGTGCATTAACAGCGTCATTAAGTGTGAAAAAGTAGAATGTGACCTCAGCCCTCCAGAATCTCGAGAACTCTGCAAAGTGAGGCAGTTTCCAGGAGAATGCTGTCCCCGATATGTCTGCATCAGTAAGTCATATTGATCCTGCATTTTCTTTGAAATTTGTCTAGTTCTTATTATGTTGCAAAAGAAGTTTATTTGTTTTTAAGAGTAACGCAATTAGTTATCGCTAGTGGAGAAACAATAAAAGTGCTCGATATAACGAAAGTCAGGAAGAATAATTGCATAATCCATAATCTCTATTCAAGGTAATATCATTGGCCTCAGTGAAAAATAATATCATTTGTCTCGTTTGCGAAATAATATCATTGGTCTCGTTTGCAAAATAATATCATTTGTCTCGTTTGCGAAATAATATCATTGGTCTCAGTGCAAAGTAATATCATTGGTCTCAATGCAAAGTAATAACATTGGTCTCAGTGCAAAATAATATCATTGGTCGCATCAGTAAGTCATATTGATCTTGCATGTTCTTAGGGTTTTGTCCAGTTCTTATTATGTAGTAAATGAAGTTTATTTGTTTTAAAGATTAACGTTACTCATTCTCGCTTGTGGAGAAGCAATAAAAATGCTCGATGTAACGAAAGTCAGGAAAAATAATTACATAATCCCTAATCTCTATTCAAAGTAATATCATTGGCCTCAGTGCAAAATAATATCATTTGTCACGTTTGCAAAATAATATCATTTGTCTCGTTTGCAAAATAATATCATTGGTCTCAGTGCAAAGTAATATCATTGGTCTCAGTGCAAAGTAATATCATTGGTCTCAGTGCAAAGTAGTATAATTGGTCTCAGTGCAAAATAATATCATTTCTTGGATCAGTAAGTAATATTGATCCTGCATTTCCTTAGGATTTTGTCCAGTTCTTATTATGTAGTAAATGAAGTTTATTTGTTTTAAAGATTAACGTTACTCATTCTCGCTTGTGGATAAAAATGCTCCATACAACGAAAGTAAAGAAGAGTAATTACATAATCAATAATCTCTATTCAAAGTAATATCATTGGCCTTTGAACCAAATAATATCATTGATCTCGTTCACTACACTTTTTGAGAGATGAGGTGAACTAATGGGCGCCCAACTTAATCTTAGTCTTCAATGCTGTCCATAAGAAATAGTAAACTATGAGATACAAAGAGCAACAATGAACTTTTGATCCTTAACTTTTGAGCCAATATTTTTTCATTGAGAAAATTTCTTCCTTTTCTGGTAAGAAAATGTTTTGGTGATTGCATTTTTTTTGAAAACATGACACTAAAAGTGAAGTATCCAAAAGCATGATTTATCCAGGGATGATATAACGAGAGCCTATGATATTTAATCTGTCAAATATGTTTATAATTAATATTTTTAAAATCATATATTTCAATCTTAAAAATTTTTAAGAATTGTAGTTATGCTAAATATTCTTACAGGAACAAATATAGAAGAACATACCAATTTAAAAAGTAAATAAAAAGGAACTCACCAAAATTATTCAGTACATAACTACTGTGACGGGAAAAGTATTGATTTACTGAACTCACCCCCCCCCCANAGAGGGTTGTCCAATTGCATCACTGACTATTCATTCGATATTTCACCTCCAACGGTAACCTAATAACTAACTATCTCGATTTAATGATTAGTACGTTACTTAATTAAAGTTATAATTAAATATGCACTGTTACTCACATTTTTTACTTAATGAAGGGAAAATATACGAGGAGAAAAATTTTAAAATGTGAAATATTTGGGATACGAATTGCTAGAGTGATTTATCATGATCCAAAAATGCGGACTGAAATTTTGTCAAGAAAATCATACAAAGAAAAAAAGCATCCGTTCTCGTTGATTTGATGACTGATCAAAAGTGATTAGACATTTCTTGATATTATAATGGACCAAGATACACTTTTACAAATGAGTTTTTGTGCATATCAATTTTTAATATATCGAACAATACATTTATATTTCAGAAAGAGAGGCCCACGTGCTTGCCGTATATTTTAGTGAAACAAAACCAAAATACAAAGTAGCATGATCTGAGAAAGTACAACATTTATCATAAATTTTCAGATTAATAATGTTTACATGCTGTATTACAAAAATTATTAATCAGTCACCTCTTTAATAATACTCTACGCATCTTGGGTCTAAATAGTAGCCGTTTATACATTATTTACATGTTACTTTACATGCCCAGCTCTATTTTAATTGCTAAAACCCTTCACACCACAAATTCGCCAGATATAAAACAGCTACCATAATATATGCTACTATGAATTTTATTTCAAAAGTGTTATTTAAAAACCTCAAAGAGTAAGTATTGTATTCTAAAATGTTGTTTTACATTACAGATGCTACAACAGAGAAAATGGATGATAAACCACTAACCACAACAGGTGAAGATTTGATGCTTGATCAAAAATCAACTCCTTCAACAATAGATGTAGATCAGACTGCAACAACGCCAGAGGAATCAGATCATATAACACTTACCACATTAGAAATTACATCAATAAAGACGACTTTGAGCACTCTGAAGGTTACAGATCATTCTACAATCGGAGAAGTTAGAGAAACAACAACTTCGGCTGCCATTGAAGAGAGTTCCAAGACACACATACCTGAAACAGGGGCCGAAACATTAACAACTTCGGATGCCATTGAGGAGATCTCCAAAACGCGTATACCTGAAACAGAAGCCGAAACAATAACAACTTCTGCTGCCATTGAGGAGAGTTCCAAAACGCACGTTTCTGAAACAGAAGCCGAAACATTAACAACTTCGGCAGCCATTGAAGAGAGCTCCAAAACTCACATACCTGAAACACAAACTGAACTGTCTTCGTTAACAACATTAAAGGAGTCAGTCACAGAGAAGGAAGAGGGATTGATGACTTCAGTAAAAGTGGAAGAAAAATCAACACTTTCTCCTGAAATATCTACCTCCACTCAAATAATTGATCATGAAATGACTTCTATTAAAGAAACTCATAAGACATTGCCAGAATCAGACAATACGCAAGCAATCTTAACAAAATTATCAACCCAATCTGATACCGAAGCAACTACGTATGGGTCACCTGAAATTGGTTTAGATACAACATTATCTAGTACCAAAGCATCTGAAAGTGAAACAAAAGAATCAAGTCAAATGACAACTGTAAAACTTGATGCTGGATCTACCGTGACATCTGAAACTCCGGTTATAACACATAAAATTGAAAGTGCAGCTACTGAGGAAGAGGTTCAAGCAACAACGCAGTTTTCTTCCGAAGCAACAACAGTCGAAAGTCATACTGTTAAGAGTTCAGTAGAGGAGATGGAAGGACAAGTTACAACAGTCAGCTCTGTGCCAGAAACTTCAGAAAAGATAACTTCAAAACTTGAAATTGCAACTTCAGTCACGGAGGGCACAAAAGTGGAAGAGCTTGAAGCCACGCATACAGGAGATACCGTTTCGACAGACGTCTCTGAAAAAGCTACAACTGAAGTAGAATTGGAAGATTCAAGTGTGAAAACAACAATTCAGCCCTCAATAACAACACAGCCTACCGAGAAAGTTGATAAATTAACCGAAACTCCTCCTTCAGCACTATCTGCAGAAATAGGTAGTGAAATAACAACATTACTTGTTAGCCAAGTAAGTGAGGAACGAACGACTGTTCAGCCATCTTCAAAATTATCTGAAGACGCTACATCCACTTCAGACTTAAAATCAGCAGAAACAGATAAAACTACTGACATTCCTACCGCGAGTGAAATTTCGACTGAGGAATCTCGTGTAACAGAAAAAACTACTGCTCAACAAACTGCCTCTACTACATTTTCAAAATTGGACACTGCACCAGAACTTGTTTCAACGCCTGTCTCAATTGAAACAATTTCTACTGAAGCATCTAAAGTAACAGAAAGTCAGTTTTCTGATGAAACCATTTTGAATGTCACCGAAATCTCAAAAAGTACACCACCTAAGGAAACTGACATTTCTATTACAGAAGTTCCTTCAGAATTTACTTCAAAGGAAACAACGTTGGGTACTACTACATCTGTAGAAGTTAAAGTATCAACTTTTGATCACACTATTGAATCGGACACCAAAACTCCTGAAACATCAACGGCAACATACAAATCAACTGACCTCTTTACACTAGAGGCTGAAACGACTGTGAGTGTTCTTACAGAGTCAGAAAAAGAAATCACCGATGAAGTATCAAAAATAGAAGGCTTGACCCAAGAAGATAAAATAAGTACAACACATGCACCTATATCCTCGACTGTATCATTTGAAGCAGATGAAGTTAAGTCTACAACTTTTAAAGCTGTTCCTGATATAACAACACATTTTGAAGAAAAGGAGTTTAAACTAACAACCGAATCGCATGAAGTTGCAGAAATAACTACTTCAAAAGAATCTCCGAAGACTCCAAGTTCAGATTTATATTCTACGGAAGCATCAACTATCAAAGAAATGGAAACAAGTACACTTCTGTCTGAAGCGGAAACTTCCGAAACGATATTAAGTACTACGGAACATGAAGAAAAGGCGACTGATGTAAAGGAGGATATTTCAAAGGTGTCAACAGTAGCTCCTACTACAGCTGAAAAAGATTATTCCATTGAAATTGAGAGTACTGTTACGAAATTGCAACCAACAATAATGGGACTGGCAGGTACAAAATCAACAACATTTGCATCTAGTGACAAAGAAACGACAGTGACATCAACAATAGGAGAGCAAAAAGAACAAGAACTAGATGAAGCAAAGAGTACACCAGTTTCTTTAATGGAAGCTGAAACTACTAAACTGCCTATGGTATCCACGATTTCTGGTGAAACAGCTTCAACGATGGGAAGTGAAATAAGTATAACTACCGGTGTTACACCTGCCAAACCAAGTAAGTCAACTTTGAGTGATGCGGCAACACTTATTACTGAACCTTCTAAAGTCACAATCAAAGAAATGAAATTGACAACAGAAATTCCTGCACATGAAGTTGAAACAACGTCGTCAGAAGCTGAAAGTGCATCAAAAGAAACGGCTTTTGATCAGAAAACCACAGACTCATTGTCAACCATTTCTGAGACATCAGAAACTGTAAAAGAACCTGAAATACAGAAAGCTGCAACCATTCTTGAGGACACCACTACCAGCCGAACATTTACTTCTGCTGAATTAGCTTCCTCTACAGTATCTGAAGATCTAGTGACGGTAACTGACAGAGAAATTAGCAAAGTATCAATCATGACTGCCGAAATAAAACCAATAGAAGATTTACAAACATCAAGTGAAATTGCAGACAGCGAGGTCGATAAACTAACTTCTGAATCTGTTTCATTTAAAGATACTACAGAAAAAACGGCAACTGAAGTGTTTAAAACAACTGTGGAAGTAGAATCTAAATCACCCTCATTAGAAGAAACAACTTCTGAAGTTTCTGCTACATCTTTTACAGATGAAAGGGCATCATCTCCCTCGGTATCTTCAACAGAGGCAGAAGCATCCAGTATCGTTACTGAAGAGGAAGGAAAACCATTAACTTCGACTACTTTTAAGTCATTAGGCGAAGAAACATCTGGTAAAGAAGTCACTGATTTCAGTACACCTTCTTCTGAAATACTCAAGACTACTGTGTCAAAAGAAAAAGAGACATCTGTGGTCTTCTCCACAGCAGAATCTCCAACAAGTTCTCCACATACTACAAAATTTGATGAAATGACCACATCAAAAATTCATGATCTTTCTATAGAAACAAAAGAGACTGGTGTGACTTCAATAAGTGATCTAACAGGTCTACCCGACGTAAAAGAACAAACATCAGCAAAGGAAATACTTGAGAAAACATCTACAATTAGTGAAAGTATTGAAACAGCTGAAGCTGAGACAACCACTCCTGTACCAGCTAAAGTTACCGCAGAAAAAGAACTACTTATTACCGAATCTACATTGATGACAATATTGCCTGAAAAGAAGGAAACTACAGAACCAGAATCTTCTGAAATGTCAGAAAGCACAGCAGCTTCCGTTTTGAAAACAACTTCTGATGCATCGCGTTTTGAGGAAAAACAACAAACTGAAATAAAGTCAGTTACAGGCGAAACTGATATTATTGTCAGTATGCTAACAACCTTATCTACCCCGGAAAAAGAACTCATTACTGCAGGTACAGAATCTCAAACAAGTGTAACATCTGATTCATCAACACACATTCAGGCTGCCGAAGAAGAGTTTACGACAAAAGATACAATTGATGAAGCAACAAAACTGGAAGGTACTTCAACCGAAAAGTCCGCAACACGTCTAGCATCTGAATTTACGACCATACCCGACACCTCTGTTCAATCAACAGCATCAATTTCTACTAAATCAGAAGAAACATTCAGTACACCAGAAAAAGCGGAAACCACAGAATCAAAAGATGCAACAGAGTTATCTAGTACGGATTTTGATGAAATTAAAGAAAAACCCACTCATATAATCGAAGATAAAATTACAACATCTCCGGAATTCACGAAACTTGATCTTTCAACACTTGTTACAGATATTGGTTCAAGTGAACATGAATTTGTTTCTGAAAGTAAATCTACTCAATCAACAGAAGTCACGGCAACTTCTGAACCGAAAATCAGTTCAGAAGGCGTGCCAGCAACTGAAAAATTTACAGACACTGATACAAGTCCAGAAACGTTATTGTCAAAAACTGGTACTGAATCTCCCAGGGAAGGAACTGAATCAACAACTGAAAGACTTGGAACTGTAGCAGATTTGCTGCTTGTACGCGAAACTTCCAAAACTCCACATTCCGAAGTAGATACCGAGGCAGAATTTTCAGCTGAAACAGTAGCATCTGAACAGCCGTTGACAACATTCCAAATGAAAACAACTCCTGAAAGAATATCCATATCAACTTCGTCATCATCGGAACTTGACAAAGTCACAACTATCAGCTCAAGCACTCAGGAAGCAGAAATCGAGACAACAGAAGTAAAATTTTCGGAATCTCCTTCGACAAAACTTGGAACGACAGCGAAACCAACGGATATCACATCTGAACTTCCAATAGAAAAATCAACTACGTTAAAAACTCGTGAAGATGAAGAAGTCACTCCAACTCACGCTACAGAATTTGAAGGAGAAAAAACTTCCGAAATTGTCATGAAGGCATCAACTGAAATAAAATCTGCCAGTACAGCTTCCGTTGCTACAGATACGCAAGAAACAGCCGTAACTTCGAAATTCGCAACAGAAGTTTCAACTGCTGAACAAACAGTGCACACCGCATCAACTCCTGAAGAAATTTCGCGGGAAACAACAGAACTAAAAGTTGCCACAGAAGAAACAAGCACTCAATATTCGACTAAGATATCTGACGCCAAGGAAGAAACGGATTTCTCGGCAAGTGTTGCACTTACGGAACTTGAAACAAGCACTTTCAAGCCCATTTTAGATACTACGACTAAAAAAAGTACTACTGTTCCTTCACTAATCGAGGAAGGGGAAACGGCGACACGTAAAGAAATCTCGGACACGACCTCAATACAACCTGCTATAAGTACAGAATTAAAATTAAGTGAAACAGAATTAACTGACATCACCTCAGACGAAAAAGCAAGCACATTTAAAGATGCTCAAACAACAACGACCTCCCCAGTGCAGTTTGACAAAAAAACGACCGAAGAATTACTTGATGCAGAAATTACTACAGAAGTCCCTAAATCAGCGGCTAGTAGGACAACTATTGATTCATCTGAAAAAACTGAGACTACCAAACTAATTACACCCTTTATTGCAAGTGAAACCACTACCACGCCAAAAGATGAGGGAAAGAAAGAACATAGTGAAGCAGAGCTGCTTAGTACTACAAAATTAGTTGATTCATTTACCACAAAATCTGTTTCTCTGTCTCCCGAGACACAAAAAGAATTTACAAAAGCTGAAATCACAATGACTGAAGATTTTAAAATTAAGGAGCAAGCAATCCCGAAGATACCGTCAACTTTTGAGCCAGAGTCCGTGTCTGCAATATCTACAAAAGAAACAAGGATACCAGATGAAATTAGCACTCCAGTAGAACTTACCACAAAAGAATTTGAAGTAACAATAGTGTCCGAAGATGATCTCCAAAGCAAAAAAACGTTCGCCGCTGATTCCATGGTGGTAACCACACCATCCAGTTCGTCCGTTGTCACTGAACTTACTTCGAAACTATTTTCTTCAGATTTAGATAGGGCAGGCGCCATTGCTACTGATTCGTCCGATAAAGATATTTCAGTAAAAGATACGGAGAGTGTTACAGAAATTTCATCTAAAGCAACAACGGTTGTAACTTCAACAAGACTTACCAAAATTCCAGATGATGCAACCGAAGAGGTTGAATCCGAGAAAACCAGTGAAATCCTTGTGTCTTCGACAACTGGACATCCACATGAGTTTACAACAAGAGAGAAAGACGTATCAACAGATCAGGAAAAAATGTTTTCTCCAATAGCAGAGGATATTTTATTTAGAGAAAGCAGTAAATCAACGGCAAAATTGGATTTGCCAATAATTACTACGATCTCTGAAAAAACTACGTCATCTACGCCTGAGAGTATTACTAAAACAACTTTATTTATTAGGCCTACTCAAGAACAAGAGGAAACGATGTCAGTAGATGTAAAATTAGTAAGTAAATTAGAAAGCACTACTACTTATTTAGATCAAGGTTCTACCACAACATCATTACATATTATCGATGACAAACAAGCAGAAGTTACCATGGAAACTAAGAAGACCCCATTCGAGACTGATTTACCCACTATAGAACCAGAACAGGCACAAAAATCAGAGTTTACAACCTCCATAACTAAAGTGATAGAAGAAGCAACAACAAAAGAAAAAGAAATAACTTCTACAACGCCACCAGAATTGTCTACTGAAATACATATGGATGGCGAAAAAACTTCATCGGAAGAAGAAATAACTACTAAAGCAGCCATACCCTTCTCAACTTCTGTTGAGGGAACAGAACAGGATAAAACAACAAAATCATCTACAACTGTACCCGATAAAACAAGCTCGACTTCAATATCAGTGACAACTGAAGAGGAAACAATGGAGGCTGAATTAACTACTCTATCAGATAAAACTGAAGATGTTAAAGGAAAAACAAGTGCTGAAACGATTTCCACAACATTTGAAGAATTCAAAACAACTACTTTAGTTCCAACAGATTTGATTTCAAAGAAATTAACTTCAGTTGATGAAAAGTTTACTTCTGAATCTCAATTAGAAACAGGAGCTACTTCAGCAGAACCAGAAAAAACACACAGTGCTGAGATATCAACTACTTTTGCCCAAACGCTTTCAACAGTTGAACAGAGTTTTGCAGCTGAAACAGTCATTTCAACGGTTACAGCTTCATCTGAGGAAACTGAAAAAGCTGAATCAACCTCTTCCGCAGTAACTCACATTTCTGAAACAACGCATGCCGGAGCGACCGAAAAATCAGATACACCCTCTGATGTTATGAAAACAAGCACTGTGACTTTCGAATCCTCCACTAAAACGGAATTTGCTTCAACAGACGAGATAGCAAAAGAAACAGATTTTATGTTGCATCCTTCCAAAACAACCAGTGGTGTAGAAATCGAAAGTTCCTCCCCTACATTCTCAGGAAGTGTAGCTTCAGACATAACAACTGTAGAAGCGTCAGCTGTTACAGAATCTACATCTTCTACTGCTACAACATTTGTTACTGACTTGAAGACTGAAGTTGCTGAAGCTGAAGCCGCTATAACAACAACAACAGCCGCACCAATAACCGATAAAGTACTTTCGACCATAGTGACTAAAGTTCCATTAGTGGAAGAAGATACAACTTTACCAACCGAAAAAAGTACGTATTATTTGTGGCTTTAGAAAGCATTAAGCACCCCTTACTAGTTAGTTATAGAAAAAAACACGCATAAAACTTATTAAATAGTATTAAATAGTATTAAATAGTTACTGTTTTACAAATTAAAATTAATAAAAGATAAGGATTGAAAAATACTCTAGTGACGCAATTAAGAGAATTTGCAGACTTGGTCAATTATCTCTAGAACTACTGGTCCGATTTTTATGAAATTTAATATGTACGTGTATTGATACAATACAAAACAAATAACCATTCAACAATTGTAACACACAAGCATGATAGTGCGTAACACTCGTTGTAGTCGGAAGGTATGAAACAGCGGTTGCAGAATAAACGAAAAAAATGGGATAATGGGTATGGTCCCCTCTTATATCTTGTATCAATATCTGTCATGAAGGTATCAAAGGCAATTCTGCTCAATACAGGCTTTGCAATGTGATTTCATGCTTGAAATAAGACAGTTTACCATTTCCTGCGGCAACTAGATTGATTTGTCCTGTGGCAATTTCATACCTTCCAACTCCAGCGAGTGATACGCAAGATCATGCTCTTGTCTCTTGTATTACAATTGTTGAATGGTTATCTGTTTTGTATTGTATCAATGTATGTACATGTACCAATCAAATTTCCTTAAAATCGGTCCAGTAGTTCTTGAGATAATCGACCAAGTCTACAAATTCTCTTAATTTCTTACACCAGTGTATTATGATACATAAATATATATTGTTTGCAATTATTTATGATTGAATTATCTTTATAGAAAAATGCACTGTGAATGAAACTGTGTATGAAAATGGAGCTCCAATACATACTCTAGAGGCATGTGAAAAATGCAGTTGCTATGACGGAGATATTCTTTGCTATAAAATCATCTGTAAATTACCCAAAATTGACTGCAGAGCATTGACGTTTGAAGGCGATCACTGCTGCCCACTCTCGTTTGAGTGTCGTAAGTAATTTTCATTTCTAAGAGTAAGAACATTTTAAAAACTAATAGAATTATTTTCAACATTATTCTACACATTTTATATACACAATTTTAAAAATATTTCATTATTGTTGAAGCCTTTTAATAAAAATTTAGCCCATTCATAGAAATTTTTTTTAAATATTAAGGTCTTAATAATACCAGCTTATTTATATAACACAGTGAAATTTGCACTTAGATAAAGTTTGGTATTAAATACATTTACATTTGAACAAGTAAGACATTTTGTCCTCTTACCTAATACTTATGTTTAAATGCAAATATTTACATCTAAATATAAGACTATAATCCAAATAAAATTGCTTTGACACTTTTTGATAAACGATAGTGATATTTATGCTTACAGTTTTTATAAGAAATAAAATTTTCTTTGATAGGTTATGTAGTAAATCGGAGTTAGTATAAATATTTTTAATACATTATTCCTTTCTCAAAAATAATAGCAATAATAAATCTGTATGTATTTTAAATTTAAGCAGAATCAAGTATTTTTTAACTTTAAATAATGATTAAGGAAATAATAACTGTATTTATTTTGCAGCTCTGGATAATGGAACAACAGAAACAATAACGATTACAAGCACTGAAGCAGTAGAAAAGTATGTAACTACAACGATGTTACCAGAAAAAGTGACAATTTTGACAACTCATTTGACTCCTGAAACGTTACTCGATGCTATTTCAACGCGCACCCCTTCCATTACCACAGAATCTCAAAAAGAGTTGACCAGTGAGGGAATTGTTTCCAAAGTTACGACAAAGATTATTGATCTGGCAACAGGAACTACCTCTAGCAAAACAGAAGCAGAAACAACTTCTAAAGCTTCAAGCACCGAATCTGCCGCAGCAGAAAGTACAATGTCTCCTTCTTCAAGCAGCACTGAAGTATTTTCAGATTCCAAAACTTCTCTGTCTGAATTAGAAGATATTACTATTAGATCTAAGGAGGCTGAAACGACTACTGAAGAACCTTTCCCCACTTCTGCTAGAACCATGACAACCGGAGAAATTGGACTAACGACTCAACCTAAGACTTCTGAAGAAGCAGATGAAAGTTCTACTTTACAAACATCGGAAGTGACTAAAATGAAAGCGGAGACACAACCAGTCCCTGATATAATGCAAACGACAAAGGCTTTGAAAGATTCTTCAACCGCTAAGGAAATAACTGAAGAATTTAAAGATCAGTCAGATGTAAGTACAACCTTCAAATCAATTGAGTCCAGCACGTTAAGTCCTGTCACAGGGAAAAGCACCGAATCTGAATCAGCTACTACAGTAGAAAAGGGGGAAATAAGTTCCACTGTAGAAGAAGAAACCAAACAAACAACAATCGAAGAAAAAACAAAAGTGTTCGATATGCAAACAAGTAGCGAAGTAGTAACTGAACATTCAGAATTGGAGGCAGAAACAATCAAAGCTTTTGAGAGTTCCACTTTGGCAACTCCGAAGGCAGTTGATATCACTGAAATGGCTGAAACAACTTTAAAAACTAGCAGCTCAGATGTTTTCACAACTTCAGATGAACAAACGGATAAAACGACTCCCATTGAAGTCTTATTAGATAAAAGTACAAAATTAGAAACAGATTCTAAAACGTCTTCTTTTACCACGCCAATTGAAGTTTCAAAATTACACGATGTGCCATCAAGTACTGTGGTTTCAAGTTCGGAATTTACAACGGAAGAAACTATTCAAAGTGAATTGAGTTCTTTTAATTATACTGAAAAATCTGAAACTACTCGTATTCCCTTAACCAGCACCCTTAGTTCGGATATAACAAGCTCTGAAGTTCGAGAAACAGGTATTTCAAAAGAACAAACAACAAAAATACATGCAGATGAAATATCTACAAAACAATTTACTTCTACAGAGCCGTCAATTAAAGCAGAAACAGAAACAAAAGGCCAATTAACTTCTGTAAAATCTTTTGATTTGACCAAAGGAGAGATTACCACTGTCACGGAAGGGACAGAATCAATTTTAGGTGAAGTTATGGGTAAGGGTTCGAGCAAACTACCTTCTACATCCGTTTTACCAGAAAAACTGGAAACAACTCAAAAATTTGAAACAGACGAAACAACATTTGTAACTCAGACCATTCCAACAAAATTACACACAATTCCTATTATGTCAAGAGGAAGATTGCCCTCTTCCACTGTATCAGAAAGTACAACGGAAGTCATTCAAGATACAACAACAGAAGCGAGGGCAAAATCAGATCTTTCAGCTGAAGCATTGGTGCCCGAAGTTTCATTGACAACATCTGAAAGAGAATCCCCTGAATCGCAAGCTACTACAGTTTCAGAGGCAGTGTCAGAAACAACAAGTATAAGGAGCATCACTGACAAAGTATTCACTTTCGTATCAACGAGGTTTACGGAACTATTTAGTGATACCACTGAAAAAAGTGTAGAGCTGGAAACTGAAACGAAACATACCACAGTTATAGATACAAGTACATCGAAACCAAGTACTTTTGCTGCCGATAAAGAAACGACATTTACAACAACGATAGTGGAAGAACTGGAATCGAAATCTGACGTTACTAGTAGACGTACTATGCCCGAAGCAACTTTAAGGGTGACAGAAACTCCAATAATTTCATCGACAATTGCTGAAAAAATTGAAGAACATGAAGTTAAGACTAAGCATCCTACAATTATGGAAGAAAGTACAACAAAAATAAGTTCTGCTATTGCCGATAAGGAAACAACAACTACTATGAGGACTGAAGAAGTAGAATCTGAAGCGGCAAGAAAAATTACCATGCCGGAAACAACGCAGAAAGTAACAGAAGTTCCAACGATTTTATCAACGATTGATAAGAGTGATTCTAAAACGAAACTTACTACTGTAATGGAAGAAGGCACAGTGAAAACGAGCACTGATCTTGCTGATATGGAGACAACGATTACAATGATGGCCGAAGATATGGAATCAAAATCTGAGGAGACAAGCAGGAGCACCGTGTCGGATATAACACAAAAAGTAACAGAAATTCCCATGATTTTATCAACTATTGAAAAGAGTGAAGAACCTGAGACTAAAACGAAACTTACTACTGAAATGGAAGAAGGCACAGTGAAAACGAGTACAGCTCTTGCCGATAAGGAGACAACGGTTACAATGATGGCCGAAGATATGGAATCAAAATCTGAGGAGACAAGCAGGAGCACCGTGTCGGATATAACACAAAAAGTAACAGAAATTCCTTTGATTTTATCAACTATTGAAAAGAGTGAAGAACCTGAGACTGAAACGAAACTTACTACTGAAATGGAGGAAGGCTCAGTGAAAACGAGCACTACTCTTGCTGATAAGGAGACAACGGTTACAATGATGGCCGAAGATATGGAATCAAAATCTGAAGAGACAAGCAGGAGCACCCTGTCGGATATAACACAAAAAGTAACAGAAATTCCTATGATTTTATCAACTATTGAAAAGAGTGAAGAGCCTGAGACTAAAACGAAACTTACTACTGAAATGGAAGAAGGCACAGTGAAAACGAGCACTGCTCTTGCCGATAACGAGACAACGGTTACAATGATGGCCGAAGATATGGAATCAAAATCTGAGGAGACAAGCAGGAGCACCGTGTCGGATATAACACAAAAAGTAACAGAAATTCCCATGATTTTATCAACCATTGAAAAGAGTGAAGAGCCTGAGACTAAAACGAAACTTACTACTGTAATGGAAGAAGGCACAGTGAAAACGAGCACTGCTCTTGATAAGGAGACAACGGTTACAATGATGGCCGAAGATATGGAATCAAAATCTGAGGAGACAAGCAGGAGCACCGTTTCGGATATAACACAAAAAGTAACAGAAATTCCCATGATTTTATCAACTATTGAAAAGAGTGAAGAGCCTGAGACTAAAACGAAACTTACTACTCTAATAGAAGAAGGCACAGTGAAAACGAGCACTGTTCTTGCTGATAAGGGGACAACGGTTACAATGATGGCTGAAGATATGGAATCAAAATCTGAGGAGACAAGCAGGAGCACCGTTTCGGATATAACACAAAAAGTAACAGAAATTACCATGATTTTATCAACCATTGAAAAGAGTGAAGAACCTGAGACTAAAACGAAACTTACTACTGTAATTGAAGAAGGCACAGTGAAAACGAGCACTGCACTTGCCGATAAGGAGACAACGGGTACAATGATGGCCGAAGACATGGAGTCAAAATTAGAAGAGACAAGTAAAAGCACCACATCTGAAACAACACAAAAAATTACAGAAATTCCTATAATTTCATCAACTATTGAAAAGAGTGAAGAACCAGATACTACAAAGAAACCAACAACTGTATTGGAAGAAAGCACTTCAAAAATGAGTACGACTGTTGCTGATAAGGAAAAAACTATGACAATGATGGCCGAAGATATGGAGTCAAAATCTGAGGAGGCAAGTGAAAGTACCACATCGGAAACAACGCAAAAAGTCACAGAAATTCCCATAATTTCAACAACCACTGAAAAGAGTGAAGAAACTGAGACGGAAGCGAAATTTACTACTGTAATGAAAGAACGCACTGCAAAAACGAGTACTACTATTGCCGATAAGGAAACAACGATAGCTGAAGATAAAGAATCAAAATCAGAAATGACAAGCAAGAGTACTATGTTTGACACAACCCAAAAAATGGCAGAAACTTCAATAGTTTCATCTACTACTAAGGAAATAACGTCAACAGTTAAGGAAGAAATGTTAAGTTCAACGATGAAAACCCCTATGGTTAAGTCAATTGAAGAAGAAATGGATTCATTTACTCGTGAATCAACACCACCAGATGTTGAAGTAACTAAAGAAAGCGAATCTGCTCAAAGTTTAACTCCTTTAATTTCCCTCGAGCCTGAAGAAACAACTTTCAAGACAAAGGAAAGTACTGCTTTTAAAGAAACTGTAAGCACCGAAAAAACCGAAACACCTGGAGATGAATCAAAGAAAACTCCAGTATACACTACGTTTAGTACTTCGTTAGGAATCACAGAAGCTTCAAGCCTTCAAACTCAAGAACACGAAACAGTTTCTGAGAAAGAAGAAATTTCCACTATTAAGACAACAGAGCCTGAAATCACCACTAGCACCACTGGTCATGTAGAAAAACTAACTATAAGTACTGAGATAACAGTACCAACTATAAGAACAACCGACTTATCTGATCATGAAAGCACCTTTTCTAGTGAATTGTCTGTAGAACCAGGGAAATCGACAGCTGAAACACAAAAAATGGAAATTACAGTATCGGAAGGACAAGAAACAACGATTACGAGTATCGCTCCAGATAAATTTACTAAATCTGAAACCGAAAGCAGTTCAATGATTACAACTGCCGAGCTAATTAAAGTGGAAAGTACCACAGCCCGAGATAAATTTACAGAAGAAACAAAAATGACTTCAATTCATAAATTGGAATCCGAAACAGTCACTTCAAGCTCATCATCCGATGAGTTAAAAACCACTTCATCAACTGAAAAAGATCAAACGACAGGAATTAGTGAGACTAGTCAGTCGATTTCAGAGATCACTAAAGAACCTAGCACACTAGCATCAGAAACAAAAACTGAAGAGAGAACCACACTAAAGATAACTGAGAAACCCATTTTTAAATCTGAGGATATAGCGTCTACTATTACAAGCCATAGCGTGGCCGAAACTGAAGCATCTAGTCCAGTTACTTCAAGAGAAACAGCTGAAGCAGAAGATATGGCATCTACTAGTGTAACCGAATCTTCAATAAAACAAACAAACATAACCGAAAGCGTTCCAGAAATAAAAACAACAGAATATGTAAGTACAGTTACAGTTAAACCATCTACTATTGCTGGTATTCCACTCATAGAGAGGAGGCTTCCCACCGACAGGACAGAGCGTCCACTCACTGAAGACTTAGATCAAGTCAGCAAGTCAACTATTATCAGCACGGTATCAACCACTGGCATTCCTATCACAATGATCAGTGAAACAACAACTCCGGAGAGTTTCGAGACTGAAACAAGAATTTCAACAACAGGCGTTCCAATTTCAACGATAAGCGACTTATTGCGATCTCCTACAACTTTGGAGAGTTTAGAAACTGAAGAGAGAATCTCAACTACAGGCGTTCCATTTTCCACACTAAGCGAGTTATTGCGATCTCCAACAACTTCGACTATTTTAGAAACTGAGACTAAAATCTCAACAACGGAAAGTCCATTACCAACGGTGAATGAAACTTCAGAATTCCCAACAACAGCAGATATTTTTGAAACTGAGACAAGAATCTCGACTACTGGAGTTATCGTCAAGAATCTAACAGAACGTGTCACAGAGGCTACTGAAATGCCGACGAAAGCTTTCAAAGCCATTGAAACGACAACGATGTCTTCCAGCACACCCGTGACCTCAACAACAGAAGAGACTTCCACACGTACGTTTCTTATTATTTGAATTATATTTCTTTATTATGAATTCTAGATAACTGTCACATGATTATTTGACTTTTTGACTTAAATGCTCATTTTATTTGATAAGTAATTCACGCACAAAAAACTACTATAAATAAAGATGAAATTCATTGAAAGATGGTATTTAAACATATTATAAGGGTTTTTAAACCATTACGCACTTAAGGCATCCACTATATTTTTTAATGCTTCTCTGTCTCTATAAGCGGTTAAGTTTCAAACTGGCCGGATCACGCTATTGGACGAAAATGACATCACTACTTGTGGGTACACATCGGCTGCCGTTGATGCTGTCTTAGAAAATTGTTCAAGATTTGTTTTTAAACAAGTTCATTTTTGATTTTCCTTATTTTTATTTAATAATTTATTATTTATTTTATTACAGTCTCAAGATATATAACTAAATTAATTTTCAATTGTGTTTTTTAACCTAATATTTCAAAACATTTAATTTAAATGAATAATTTAAATACATCTGGATGAAATTGGTAAATGTCGTATCTAACTTCCTTTAATCCTTTGTCGAGGAATTTTTATTAAGCATTAGTGAAGTTGCAATTTGACTTAGTTAATTATTAACAATTTATCGAAACTATTTATTATTTATCAAGTAATAATTTGTTGAATTTATTATTTTGCAAATATTATTGATTATTTAAGGGAATAAATTCAAAAATAGCATGTTTTAAACACTGTGACAGTACAATTAACCGAACTTAAAGTTTTAGATGTATTAGTAAATCCATTGATTACTTTTGTTTTAGGTTCTGTGACAGATTTTCTCTTAGATGAAGGAGGTGAGCATTTAAATTACATACTTTTTGTAACTGTTTTTATTTTATAATTTTATACTGTATAACCGACATTGAACAACCAACAACAATACCATATCAATAATACATCAACAATAGAATAGTATAGTATATCATGTGTAAATTTACGACTTTCAGTGTCTAACTTCGTAACCTTGTAATTTTACATCCAATCCAGAAGACAAGGGAATCCTCATTGGGACAAACTATCCTTCGTGGAGGATCTATATAATGATCCACTTATCCTGAGGATTTTTGACGTCAGCACTATGGATGATGTAGCCGGGAGTAGAATTTGCGTCAAAGCAAGCCACCGCTGGGATTCGAACCTGGGTCACCTCATTGAAAGCCGAACGCTCTATTCCTTGAGCTGCATCGGGGTTTTTGTTACTGTTTTAAAATCATTTCGAATAGCCATAAGAAACCAACTTATACCTCGTCTATGGAAATTACTTGCTTTTTTGCCTCAATTAGATCGCAAGATCTTGCATAGACAATACACAAGCTATATTACTGTTTTAAGATATTTTGAATTTATATGTAGTGAATCCGAAGTGCTAAGGTCTTATTGGTAAGGAAGTCAAGATCTTATTTAATGCAAAGTGAGGCCAAACGAGACAGGCGGTAGTTAAATGTTTAAGATCGTTGCTGTTAGATTGAGAAGAAAGGTTTGACCTTGCTGGGGGAGGGGGATTTTATAACTTTCTGGACAATATATTTAAATCATACTCAGCAGTTTCACGCGAAACTAAAGAAAACATCATCACATTTACTTAGATAACTGCAATATATCAATATTATTACTTTCTTGGTAAGAAAGGTTTTAACTGATTCCTTGTTACAACTAACCTCTATTTATGGATTAAATTTAATATGTAATTCTTTTAACATTACACGTATCTTGTGACAAAATAAAAACAGGACTAATGTTCAGAAATGTTCAGTTCTGAATATCTAAATCTGAAAACGAAATATGTTTCTAACGCTGAAGAATTAATGTTTCGCATTTTGAATAACTAATCCGTCTAAATGCTGCAAACTTTATCCTGCTGAAATAATTGTAAATTTTATGATGAAAAAAGTTATAAATCTAATGTAGAAAAATATAAATGCATTTATTAGCTGTTAAATAAGTTCCTTGTATTTCTTTTTAGCTTGCATATTTGATGGCCGCATTTTTCAATCTGCCGAACAGATTCTGCGAGATGATCCATGCGAGTTCTGCTTCTGTTTCCGTGGTGATATCATTTGTTTGCAACAAACGTGTCCACCTCCTGCTCCCAATTGCAATAGGACGGAGATTCCAGGATTCTGCTGTCCAAGATACGACTGCCGTAAGTCATGCTGCTTCATAATCAACCTTCATATGATTTTTAAAATTATAACAATCACGATAATTTTAAAGATATTATAAATTTATTTTACACAACACGAGTGCGTACATTGCTAAAAAAACAATAAAATTTCTTTTTAGCGATGTTAACATAAAACTGAAATATCAAACGAAGCTTTAAGAAAGTTCACATTTAAGAGCAACACATTTCCAATTAGATATTTCTCTTTTGGGTTTCGAAGAACTAAAAGAAACTATGCTATAATTTGGGCAGAAATGATTTGTTAAAAGCAAGCAGTTCATGGAAATAAACAAACTGTTCTTTTATAACTATGCTAAAAAGTTAGTACATGCTGTTTCAATTTTGAATGCTCGGAATTTCCAAATTCGATTATTATTTGTTTCGGAACCATTTTGACACATTTTTGCTACAGTTTTGAGGTATCCTATTTTGCTGTGTAAATATCCAATGTGTGACCGAAGCATGCTCGAATTGCCAAACAATCCGGGAGTTGGCCAGCATGAAGTGAAAACCCCTATAGTAGAATTTGAATATCCCTTGTTTACTTCATAATGAACAGGCAAATAAGGGTCTTGGTAAGCACGCAATCACATTCCACTATAAAGAGTCTGCTTCAAGGCTATCAAGGTTAGATATTACGAAGGTTAAAATACTCATCTTCAAACGTTCTAACTTTTTTGATTGTACATCTCTGATTTTTTTTCACTTTATTTTATATTGTTTTGAAGAAAAAAACGCCATTGTAATTATTTAAAAAAAAGAAAATTGATTTCTTTATTTATTTAATTGTCTGTCAATCTACGCATTCAAAACCACTTTCATAAAAATATAAACTAAATATCATGGAAATAAAAGAGACAGTTCATTTTAGAATGAAGTAAGTCCTTCGCAAAGTTTTAATTCTGTTTGTGAGTTCAGTAATCCCCTCAATCAATATTGTATAAATTCTTTAAGTTTAACAAATATATATGTTACTATTGTAGTTTTCGCTGCTCGTAAATTTTTTTAATTGCAGTTTTTTTACCAGTACTATAATTTTTAAATCTCTTACCGTTTTGTGTGCAGCTGTTTTGTTAAAAAAAATTTAAAAAAATCTTTTTAGTCGGAAAATTAATTAAACAACAAATTGTGAAATACATTGGAAGGAAATCACGGAAATTATCAAGAAATCCCCAGATACTTCCATAAAGAAGTTTATCTTGTTGTTAAATATTAGCGATTTGTTTAAAAAAATGTTGTTGTTTTTTAAAAAAAAGCAACACAATAGTGTTGGATAAGTGAAAAAATTTGTGAATCAAAATTTCCAAATTTTGAGCAATAAAATGAAATTGAGCATAAATCTAACAAAATTCCTACAATAAGTGAAGTATAAAGAACATTAAATTGATTATCTTTAATTGTATAAAGTTATCAAACTGAAGCACCTCGTATCTTTGGCAGAAGTTGAAAGTAGATTAATAGTATTAATATAAATGATCTGTAACTGTTTAAGGATTAAAAAACAAATTTTTGAACCTACTATAAATTTTTCAATACTTACAGCTGTTTTAGTGACGACGAAGAACTTAACAGCCATTACCAGACGAAAAGGAGTCCAGCCAATCATCATTCAGAAAAGAATCGAAAAAAGATCTGTTAGACTTCCTACAGTAGTAAAAGGTAAGTTAAGTGCAAAAGTGCTGCAAAACAGTTGTTTTCAAGAAAACACATTTTATTTCATAGAAAACAACTGTTCCAAATAACTAACTTTTTGTTAATAATGAAATATATGTTTCTCAATAGCCGCTGTTGATTAAAAAAATAGCACTAATAGACCTATACAAGATTTGAGTAAAAATGGAACATATTTGTACTCTTATCTTTTATTAGTCAGAAAATAACGATGAAACAGTTTTTCCTTGAAAAGTAACAGCGAAACAGATATTTCTAACAGCTTCTGTTGACTAGAAAACAATGAAGAAAGAGTTTTTATATTTAGTAGTTGTATTTCAGTTTATTTTACTTATTGGTTAATATAACAATGAGACAGTCATAGAAAAGTTACTTTCTGTTGATATTTGTTGAAATGAATATTACAATAAAAATTTGTTTGTTGACAGTTAGATTTAGCTATTAATATATAGCTTTTAATATAAAATACTAGATGAGCCTTTTTTTGCCCTAGACTGTTATTCTAGTGATAAATTAAAAATTACTCGGCAGTTGCTGTTGGTTAGAACAATACTAAATATTTTTTTCTCTTCTGGACAGATATGTTGTTAAAATAAGAATGATATGATTAATTCTCGACAGATGCTGTGGATTTGAGCAATACGAAATAATCATTTTTCACCCAGTTAGATACGTTGTTGTTAAAAGAAGGATGATACGGTTAATTCTAAACAGATGCTGTTGGTCAGAACAATAAAAAGGAATCCGTTTTTTTCCCTCCTGAATAGTAATCATAAGTCAAAAAATAAAGTTGGAATATATTTTATACTCCAATCTGTTATGGGTCTAGAAATAATGCTAGGATGGTTAGTTCAATTGTTTTCTCGCTAGTTGCCCTTGATGTTAAAATAACAATGATACGATTATTTCTGGACATTTTGTATCTCGATAGCTGCTGTTAGTCTATCTCATTTTGGGGCAATTTCATTAATCAAAAGAATCAAAAGTACGATTAAAATCTCTGGAGAGCCAAATTTCTTTACAAATAAAAAATATCGGCAATGCGACTCGTCACTGTTTCTCAAGAAATCCTCTAATGATCTCCATCCTAATTTATTAGTTATATGGTTAAGATAATTAAGTGGTTTTTAACATAACAAACGAAAAAGAAAAAAATTTCTGTCAATATTATTAGAAATAATTAAAAACAACAAACCAAAATATTCCCATAAAAATATTGCTTGATTTAAATAAATTTAATTACCATAAAATATTGAATATTAGTTAGAGTTAGAATAAATTTTCAAAAAAATATTGAGTCGTTAAAATTCTTATTTTGCATAATTTTTACTTTACTTTATATTTGACTTAATTTTTCGTTTCCCCTTACAATGACTGATGTGAAATACTAATTCTGAGAACTGATGCAAAATAACCAAATTTTATTATATACTTTATTTTATCATTTTATTTTATCATTTTATAATTTTATTTTGTTATTTTAATAATTTGAAATAAATGAGAAAAATATAAATAATGCTTGATTTAAATGAATTTAATAACCATAAAATATTGAATATTAGTTAGAGTTAGAATAAATTTTTAAAAAAATATTGAGTCGTTAAAATTCTTATTTTGCATAATGTTTACTTTACTTTATTTTTGACTTAATTTTTCGTTTCCCCTTACAATGACTGACGTGAAATACAAATTCTGAAAACTGATGTAAAATAACCAAATTTTATTCTATATTTTATTTTATCATTTTATTTTATCATTTTATAATTTTATTTTATTATTTCAATAATTTAAAATAAATAAGAAAAAATATTGAGTCGTTAAAATTCTCATTTTACATTATTTTTGACTTCAATTTTCGTTTCCCTTACGATGACTGATGCGAAATTCTAATTCTGAGAACTGATGCAAAGTAACCGAATTTTATTTGTAACTATTGCATTATCACAGCTTTATAAATAGTGCATTCTTTGCGGAGCAATTCCTGTAAGTATCCTTACATACCTGCTACTCTTACATAACGATTGCAATTGTCAAGAAAGTCATTAAGAATAGGTTTAAGTCATCAGCTCAAAATGAGTTCTCGACTTTGAACCATTAAAGGGCATCGTTTAAGTCTTGTTTTTATTTTCTCTTCTTCCGTAATGAACATGAATGATGGCATAAAATGTATAGTTTGCACATACTTAATGATGATTCATCAACAAAAAAAATTTTTCAGCACTCTAGTGTTTACACAGTATTTGAGGCATTCAGTCTTTATTGAATTGCTTACAGCTTGAAAGCGAAATCACTATTAAATATTGTTGCGCACAGACAAACGCAAATAACATTCAGAAATATTTCTAGCAATTTTGTCTAGTCAGATTAATAAAGAAAAATAATCATGGTCCCATTGAAACCTATAAAGATAAAAAGCATGGCTACTGCGTTATAAATAGATAATAACTTTATTGATGTGTGTTTTTTTTATCCACATAATGTCATGAGTATGGTTGATATAAGTAAGCGATTTTTGTGGAGTGTTTATACGGCGATGTAATATCGGGTTATTATGCAAAAATGTACCTTAATAGCATGCATGGATGTATAATATTCATAAAATAGATCGCATGGTTTAAGAAAAAAACTAAATTGCTTTTGCTCAAGAATCGTTGATAGTTCCGTACAAGTTATTATAGTCGGCATCATTAACAGCTACAGAAAAAAAGATAATAACTATCAAAATAAGGGATATAAATTGGAACTATTTTGGAAAGATGATATCAGTTAAAGAAAGGCAATAAAATATATTTTATCTCCTAATTTGAATACCTGCGAGCAATAAAAAATCTATAAAAGCTTTGCAATGTTATATAATTAACTTAAAAGTCATTTATCGCTAGTCAACGGCCTTTTTCGAATTCGTTTTTAAATGGAGATTCGATTCAATTCAGAATTTATTTATTTCACTTGCAAATGTCAAATGTCTTATTGATAGTAAAAATTGGAATTCTTTTATCCCTTTAACGCAGATGGGACACCGGTCTTCCTTTTATATACTTTTTTCAGACGCTCTATAAACGCAAAGATAAATTTTGGTATTTTTTAATATTAAAAAATAGTTTATCAGTAACTAAAAAAAAAATTTAGATTATCGAAGTTATATTTTGCGTTGTACTAAAATATAAAATGCAAAAAAAAGCAGTTTTAAATTTATTTATTTCACGTGTAAATGTTGAATTTCTTATTGATAGCAAGAATTGGAATTCTTTTTATCCCTTTAACGCAGATGGGACACCGGTCTTCTTTTTATATACTTTTTTCAGACGCTCTATATACACGCAAAGATATATTTTGGTATTTTTGAATCGTATAAATTAGTCTAATAGATACTAAAAAAATTTTTTTATATTATCGGAGTTATATTTTGCATTGTACTAAAATATAAAATGCAAAAAAAAGCAGTTTTAAATTTATTTATTTCACTTGTAAATGTTGAATTTCTTATTGATAGCAAGAATTGGAATTCTTTTTATCCCTTTAACGCAGATGGGACACCGGTCTTCCTTTTATATACTTTTTTTCAGAACCATATATTATTAAAATGCTAAATATAACATTTTTCACTTATTTTGACCTAAATTAATACGAAATATAGAAAAAAGTACACAAAATAATTTTAACGAAAACTCTGATTCAAAAACTTAATACTAAAGAACAACTTAAACGGTCACCAAATTATAGAAGAAAAAAGAAACTTTCGTTTTGTTTAATATGCATTTTTTAAACTTCAAAGAACAAAAGTTGAATAGCTGAGACATTTTTTTCATATTTTTCGTGATTTATTTATATAAAAAAAAATATCTTATTAAAATCATCTACATTATATGCCTTACTTAAATATATTTCAGAGGCCTTTCTTTAAATTGTGTTTTTCAAAAGGTGAAAAATGAATGTATTTTAAACTTTATTTTTAAAATATAGATTTCTTGAAAAAGTGCGTGATGATTTTGTACGTCGCTGGAAGTTTTCTTTTTTTCTTCTAAAATAATTTTATACATGATTTTGTCTATAAAATTTTATATTTTTGTAAATTCAATAATTTTTTACACTGGAACTAAAGTATCTTAATCGATGCATAATAGAAAAATGTTAAATAACCAAATAAATTGGACAAGAATGAAACGAATGGTAAAGTGACAGATAAAAAGTAGCGAACTTTATGTTGTACCAAATTTCTTTTAGGCTGATTGCAATTTTTAAAACGTGTTCGAGAACTATTCCTAATTTAGCCAGTCAGCATGCCGCTATTTTTTTAAAATAACTTCGTTATAGAAACACGACTTCTAACATTTTGGCAAAAACGATTATAAAATTTAAATACAGTAATCGAAAATGCATAAAATAAATTATATTTAAAAGCATAATTGTTATGCATGTTATATAAAAAATATCTACAATGTATGTACACTGTCTTCTTCAGTGATATTAACTATTAAGTTAGAGTGCAAATGATTAAAATGTGATTAAAATATCCATCACAATCCATGTTTTTTTTATCTTTGATTATATTTAACTTAAGTAATGTTTATTCGCAAAAGATCTCAATTACACTGATTTCAGATTTAAAACTATAGTATTTTCTAAAATGTTAAATTGTCTGTAATTAATTATGATAAATGGCAATTTGCTTTTCCGGTAATGATAAAATTAGTGGAACATTTAATCATTATGTTTCAGTTTTCTATTATGAATCGACGTTATAGTTCTACGTTATTATTTTTTTTTTTTTTTTTTTTTTTTTTTTTTTTTTTTTTTTTTTTTTTGTAAATGAAGACGTACTTATTATAGTTCGACTCCCTGTTTTCTTTAAATGAAGGGTCTACTCATTATAGTTGGACATACTGTTTATTTTTTATTTTTCTCAAATGAATTATTACTCATTATAATTTGACATCCTGTTATTTGTAAACGAAGGCCTACTCATTATACGACGTAATTTTTTTTTTTTTAAATTGAAGGTCCAATCATTTTTATTCAAAATCCAAGTTTTGGTATTGAATGATACAACATCAAATTTTTGTAATGTTTAATCACTATTGTTCCACTTTCAAATTAGAGTTAACTGCTCATTCTTATAAATTAACGTCTAATCAACAAGGCTCAACATTTAGACATTTAATCTGAGTTGTTATAAACGCACGTAAAGGAAATTTCCTATTGTGTCTGGTAAACTTCATCATTTATTAATCAATTCCCTTTTTGTTTCAGGTTGTGACATAAACGGGACATTTTATGAAATAGGATCCACTGTGACGTCAGCAAGCTGGCCTTGCTTACATTGCATGTGCGAAGATGCGGGCAACATGCACTGCGATCCGCGCAAGTGCAAACCTGAGTCACCTCTCATGCTCAACATGAAAAACAGCCTACTAAAAACAAGATAACGAAAAGAAACGTTGATATTTATTTTTATTACCATTCTTTTTCTTTTTTAAATTCCTTCTTAAGCGTGTGAAAAAGCTGCCAAAACCTTGAGGTCGTTTTCTTAGGCGACGTAATTTAAGCTAAGCTGGTTTTTTTTTACTAAAAAAGCGACTTGCCAACGTTTTGCATCAGTTCCTGAAATGCTCGTCTGCTTCGTCTAATTACCGCTCATCAGTATTTCAGTAACAGAATACTATTTACACGCTTTGAATGAAAAATAAAAAAACTACGAAACCACCGTTATAAGCTTGATAGTTGCGAATTATAACAATGAACTGTCATCGAACAAACAAAAAGAACAATAAACTGCTATTGTTGCGTCGAGTTATTATGCAACGAACTACATTTTTGTGTGCCTGCAGCGCTAAAGCCTGGAAGTTCTGAAATTCCGTCCTTCCTCTAGGAAATGAATTAATTTTTTTGGTTGAGAGTGGAAATGGAGATATATGAATGAAGATATATTGTTAAACGAACTCTAAACAATGGAGTAATCTCATTCAAATGTGCTGAATATATAATCTCTTATCCCAAAAAAAAACTTACAGTGCGCTACTTTGTTAGCGGAATCGTAAGGCTTACAGCGCAGGTAATTTTAAGCCATGCAAGTAGTCAAGTGTTTTATTTATTTATAATTGAATGTAAATACAGTAAGGAGCACTTTCGTTTAACATCTTACTCAAATCATATCTTCATATGAGTCGGTATGATGATATCAAAACATGTCTTCATATAAGTCGTATAGTAAATTAGAGATCGCTCTGCTGTGATAACCATGTGGTGCTGCAATTTTGCTAGATTTGTTGTTTTTGCACTTGTTAAGAGCAAGAGAATTTTTAAAAATGTTAAATAAATTGCTCTATTTTGATTTAATTTTTTTTAACATAGACCCAAAGAAGCAGAGTGTTTTCTAGATTTACTGTATGATCTGTATTACATGATTTTAATGTTTAACCTAACTTTTAAATCACCTATCTAATTGTTTTTCTTTTAATGTAATATTAAAATTGTTTAATTTGCAGTTATTGCCACTTTGTGCAGAAGTCTTAAGATATTAAATAAATTTTACTAGAAAGCTTAAAACGGATTTAGTTAATAAGTAATTAATGTTAGATTCATATTAGATTATAATAATATACTTATTAATCAAGTTTTATGGCTAGCAATTTTTCCTTTCTCAGTTATACTTTAAATTAAAATTATTAGATTTAAAATTATTAAAATCTTTTCATTGATTAATTACAATCTCTTTAGTTTTTTTTTTTCACATTGAGAAATAGTAATCCTACAAATTCAATTGTTTTCACGATTAAATTAAAATTTTACATAAATTTCTTACAAGTTGATTTTTTTTCTTAATTTAATTAGAATTTTAAATTAACGCAACTGATTATATTTTATATTTACGTTTGAATTATTAATAATTGCTATTTCTGTCGCTAATAATTTACAGATTTACTATTTTCCACTATATAATTTGCGTAGTTTTGATGATTACTTATTCTAAACCAATAATATTAGATTAATAACATTTACTATAGTGATAAACATTATTATACATTTATTGCAATACTTATAATGATTATTATAATAATAATAATAATGATTATTAGCACTACAGGTCGTAAGTGATAGTTGACAATAGTAATGATTGTTAATTCTATGAAAATAATATTAAAATAATAATATTTGTAAGTTTATAGCAATACTTACCAAAATGCGTTCCTATAAACAATAATTGCTATTAGCTACTAAGACCAGGAGTAATAAATTTATAATACTATTTATCGATATGTGTTCTTAGTAATAATGATTGCTAGTTCTATAGCAATAGTATTTGAGCAATAATATTTATTTTTATGATAAATATTGTTATAAATTTATAATATTTTACGGCTATGTAATTAGTGATAATGATTGTTAATTCTTTCAAAACTAACGAGTAATAATATTTATTATATTTTTCTATATTATTAAAATCTGCATTTTATAATACTTTTAATTATCATCTATTTCTAGAAATAATGATTACTTTAAAGATAAATATTAATATAAATTTTTAGGTCTATGCAAGATCTGCTAATTACGCATGATCAGGTGTCATTTATTCCTTATTTTTTCTTGCTCACTGCAAGTCATTATATCCAACTTTCCATACTTTAATTAAATTAGTATCTAATTAATTTTATAAATGTAGTGATTAATTTTCTTAATTAATTTTGTTTAAACTTTTTGATGTTTTTTTTTTTTTTTTTTTTTAACTAATTCTAATTTCATCAAGCTCAGTATAAGTTATTTACATGCAATTACTTCAGTAATATAAAACTTGCATATTTTACAAATTTAGTTAGTAATTAATTTTACTATAATTTTTTATCATTTAAGTCATTATTATTTATTTTCGATAATTAAGTAATATATTTATTTATTATTTGATTTATTTTATTTGTTAACTTTAGCAGTTGAGGATTTTTTTTAAAAATTCATGCCTAATTTTATCGCTTTTGCAAGTTAATATATATCTTTCAACTACAAGTTTTTCAAGACCTCGCACTTTTGATTTAGTAATTAGTTAAATTTTTTCTGTTTAGATTTTCTTGATTGCAATTTTTAATTTTTTTTAATTTAATACTCAATTCATTTTAAAAAAAAAATAAAACTGGTAGTTGAGTTTTTTTTGTTATTTATTTTTGTTTTAACCACTCTCCTAGGACAATATATTTCTTTAAACATTTATTCATATTATAAGATCGAGTTCAAGTCAATGGATAATTTATTAAGTGACTGGATTTTAAACGCAAGTCTCCTTACCTGTGTATTATGCTTTTTGTTCCTGGTGTTATTGTGGTGAATATAGTATTAATGTTTTATTTCTTTCGGTTATTAGAATCGGTTTTGGTTTCAAGAAGGCATTTTGAACATGGTGCCATACCCGAACAATGCTACTTGATTTGTTTTCCCATAATGTGACTTTACAGTATTACAGCAATTTTCACAGATACCAGTCATTTTATAATTAAAATATCTTTAATATTATGTGAAAAGTTATTTTTAAAAAAAAANTATTTTATTAGTTAACCTTATCAGTTGAGGATTTTTTTTTTTTTAAATTTATGCCTAATTTTATCGATTTTGCAAGATAATACATATCTTCCAACTGCAAGTTTTTCAAGACTTCGCACATTTTTGATTTAGTAATCAGTTAAATTTTGCTGTTTAGATTTTCTTAATTGCCATTATTAATTTATTTAATTTAGTACTCTAATCATCTCAAAAAATAAAACTGGCAGTTGAGTTTTTTTTTTCAATATTTATTTTTGTTTTAACCATTCTCCAAGGACAATATATTTCTTTAAACATTTATTCACATTATAAGATCGAGCTCATGCCAATGGATAATTTATTAAATGATTGGATTTTAAACGCAAGTCTCCTTACCTGTGTATTATGCTTTTTGTTCCTGGTGTTATTGTGGTGAATATAGTATTAATGTTTTATTTCTTTCGGTTATTAGAATCGGTTTTGGTTTCAAGAAGGCATTTTGAACATGGTGCCATACCCGAACAATGCTACTTGATTTGTTTTCCCATAATGTGACTTTACAGTATTACAGCAATTTTCACAGATACCAGTCATTTTATAATTAAAATATCTTTAATATTATGTGAAAAGTTATTTTTAAAAAAATTATGATTATTTTACTAGAAAAAAATAAAATATTTTTCTTAAGACAAAACAGTTCCGCCAACTAAGTTTACAATCCGGTATTGTACTTTAGAAAGTAAATACATGCACGGTGTTGCGTAATCATCTCTCTTAATGTTTATTTTTAACATCCCTGTAACGAATGAAGTGGGAAAAAAACATGTACATTAGTGGTCAAAAATTAATATTTAAGAAGGAGAAAAAATACCTTTCCAAACTATGACCCGTAATTATTGGGATGAGCAAGGAAGAAAATAATCCGTTAATTATTCTATTTAATTATTCTATTACAATAATTATTCTATTCTTAAGAATTTTGGAACAATTCAAAAAAGTATGTTCTCAACTAGTTTTATTAAGTTGAATAGTCAGTAAAACTATATGATTAAAGCTCAATTAAACTATTTGCTTATTTACACCTATGATGCGCCAATCAGAGTTAAGTTTAAATCGGTGTAAAGTAATTTTAAAAAAATTAACAAAACCTCAATGATGTAAATACGTTTTATATTTTAAAGAACACAAGCAACTTTAAAATACCAATAAGTCAATGTTAAGAACAAATTACTTGAGCTTGCTAGAATAATAAGCAACAAATATGGATCAAATTTAAATCAAAAACGGATACCAAGAACAAATTACTTGTGCTTGCTAGAATAATAAGCAACAAATATGGATCAAATTTAAATCAAAAACGGATACCAAGAACAAATTACTTGAGCTTGCTAGAATAATAAGCAATAAATATGGATCAAATTTAAATCAAAAACGGATACCAAGAACAAATTAAAAAAATTTTTGCTTTTCCCACAAATGTTTAGTAACATTCCATTTTCGAAAGTTTTCTAAAACATTTATAAAAAATAATCGAATCAAAAATAAATTTTTGTAACTAGTATTTAGATAATAAAAAAAAGTTGTTTTAATATATATATATATATTTTTACACTTTTAAACAAATTCATTCCAAGCAATTTCATGTTCCTATTTGAGAATTACAGATGAGGCTAGATATTATGCATAATATATTTTATGAACATTATGGTGCCTTATTCTATTGTGATTTTAAATTGATTATTGGTTATAATGATGAAATTAAACATCATTGATAATGCTCTAAAAGAGAGAATTTCGGGCTTTTTTTTTAAGTGTACCGTCTGTTGCATATATTGGATACGATTAAGAAACGGAGATGTTTAATCCTTTTTAAGTTTTTGGTTTGAATCCGCTTCATGTATTTGCATTCATTTTACGAACGTTGGCGGATTTAAACGGCTTCAACAACTCCGATTCTTAACCATACCCATTCATGTTGTTGTCATTGTGCTGAATTTCAGGGTAAAGAATGAGATGGTTGATCTCTGTGTTAAACAATGATTTCCATCAATTTATTTAAAATTTCAATCGTTGTTTTACGCAGAGATTGACAAAATATCTTAAATCTCATCCGATGATGAAAGTGTATGTGTTTGTGTATAAGTGTTGAATGTTATTTTTTTCTAAATTAATGTTATATGTGCGTCAGTTTTACAAAGGAAGCATTATTTAAATAAATTGTATACTTTGAATAAAACTGTCGTTTCTTTTTATTTACGCTTACAACATTTTGCATGGGTTTTTTTAATACACTCAAGATTATAATTTTTACAATATCTTTTAAAATGTTGAGTAATATTATTTTATTATCCAACAAATATCCGCGTGTTTTCATATATATGTTGCACTTTTTTTCCTGTTGTATCATTGATCACGTTAAATCTATAGAAAAATTAGCTGATTTCGTTACATTTTAAATAGCTTTCTTTTGTTTTGTTTGTTTATCATCAATGAAATTAACAAAAGGAATTTAAATTTTGAGGAAACATTTTGGAAAATATTGAGGAATGTTCTGATATAAAATGTTGCATCTTGTTTGATACATAAAGGCGAAAAAAAATATAATAATATATAACGAAAAGAAAATATAATGAATAAATTTGGAATTTATCCATTTGTTATCACTTTAAGTTTCATTACATTAAATTAATAAAATGAAGCAAATATGGAAAAACCTGAATACTGATAGGTTGAGTAGGATGGGGGGGAGGGGGTAAACGTTCAGTGAACGGAAAAATGAAAGAATAAATGACTTAAATGATGAAAGCTGAGGTAAAATTATTTAGTGAATGTATAAATGCAAGATGAAATTAGCGAATTAATGGAAAACTAATTTGTATCGTTCGTTGTTTAGATAAATAAATGAATAAATTAATGGAAAAAAGAAGTTAGTAAAATAATGGACGACTAAATAAAATAGTTCTAACGATAAATGAAAGAATAAATTCGTGAAAGATAAAATACATAATGGAATTATTGAATGTACGAATAACTGCAAGAAGAAGTTAGCAAAATAATGGTATAGTTCGTTATTAGGATATATGAAGGAATAAATTAATGAAATAAAGAAAGATAAAACAAAATTATTGGAAAATATGGAAGAAAAAATTAGCGAAATAATGGTAGGCTAAATTAAATAATTCATTGCAACAATAAATGAAAGATTGAATTAATAAAATATTGGAGTGCTAAATAAAAATAAGCCTACAAAATTTCTTCTATTTCATTTTTACAATAAATGCTGCTGAATTAAATTCCGTCATTCACTCCGTTATCAATTTTTATTCATTCTATCGAATAAAAAATTTTTAATATTTTATTTCAACTCCATATTATTTAAATAGCTCTAACTCCATCCAATTTTATTGCATGTAATGAACTTAACAATTTTTGTATGAAGGGGAAAAAAATCAATGACTTAAAAATAAAAAAAAATCGCACATAATCTCCTATGCAAACGAATTTCATTGAATTCGAACATTCATTTGAGTTATAACTTGAAATCGCATGGAATAATACGGTTAATCACAATACCGTAAAACTTAGATTTCGATTAACTTTGTTTTATTTGAATTAATTCCATTCAATAATTAATTCCACTTCATTCTCTTATATGAGATTCTATTTCATCTCACCTTTACCATATTCATTTCCAGTTCATTTCATACTACTGTGAGTTTGATTCAAATGTAACACAGTCTCAATAAGATTATTAAAGTACTGAAATAAATTTAAAACAGAAACACATTTAAAACTATAACATTAAAAGTATATAATATATATGAATAAAATTATGACCATATTACCATATATTACCATATTTATTTACCATATTTATTATAATTCCATCTAAGCAAAAATCTAGCATCATAAAGTTAATGTAGACAATGCACTTAAATTAAAATTATTTTTAATGCAAATTATTAAAAAAAAACACAATAAATATGGTAATATATCTCTGAGTGCTTTTTTCTTCCTTCTTTTTAAGATTTAAATGGTAGGTCTCTAGCATCAAGAATTGATTATCTTCGAATCCGTCGTTAACATTAGTACAAGTGGGCATTCGTCTTGTACCCTGCATTAATAGAAAATTTATAGCTCGTCCTAGTATTACTCTATCCAATTATTAAAGCTAAATTTTAACATTTTCATTTTCTTATAATATTTTCGTCATATCCAAAGTGACTCAGGAAATAGAGCGTTCGTCTCCCAATAAGGTAACCCATGTTCGAGTTCCAGCGGTGGTTGAATGATACGAATGCTGCTTCCAGCTCGCACTGACCACAATGCTGATGTAAAATATTTTCAGTGGTAGATGGATCATGGATTAGAATCCCCTTGGTGTCGAGCTACCTCTCCGTATATCACAAATGCGAGTAAATTTCATCAAAAAGGCCAGTGAAGGCTAGTTTGCCCCAATGATCCAGGAGTTCCCTTGTCTTCTGGATTAGGTTTAAAGTTACAAAGCTATGGAGTTGAACATTCATAGTCGTAAATTCAGAATCGGCATTTTCGGCTTTTCAAGGCCGGTTATAAAACAGAATAAAATATTTTAATCTAAAATGTGAACAAAAGTGAAAAAAATAAAATGATGGATTTAAATGTGTATACAAATTTAATTGCTCTTAGTGCTATCCAGGAAAGCAGGTGTGTACAGCAAATTGTGCAATTTTAATATAATAGAACAATTTCTAGTTGCACTCAGTTATTATTATTTTTTTTAAACTTAAATGGAAAAAAATAATTTTGATTTATGAATCTAAAATTCGCAACCACGTTTGAAATTACTATTGTTCTAAAAATCTGTGTATAAAGAATAAATAATCTGAATAAATATTAAGAATTTATACTTTTTTAAGCCTATTAAAATAATTTTAATTTCTGTTCATTCAGAATACTAACCGCGAAGCGTTTAAAAAGGTTTAAATGCATTGAAATTTTAATCAATGAGAATTTGAAATAAATATAATGATATAAAATAAGAGA